TAGGGGTTCAAGAGCAGCCTGGCAACATAGTGAAACCTCGTCTCTACTAAAAATATAAAAATTAGCCAGGTGTGGTAGTGCACACCTGTAATCCCAGCTACTTGAGAGGCTGAGGCAGGGGAATTGCTTGAACCTGGGAGGCGAAGCCTGCAGTGAGCAGAGATCATGTCACCACACTCCAGCCTGGGCAACAGAGCAAGTCTCTGTCTAAAAAAAACACTAAAAGTTAAAAATAAAGTATTAGGATTAGGACTTTCAGATATGAATTTGGGGTGGGGACACCATTCAGCCCATAACATCTGGGTGTCAACCACTCTTCCCCACTGACAGCAGACTCTTAAAAACTGAAAAGTCCAGAAATCAGAATGCATGAGCTCATTGATCCTACTGAGCACCTCTACCCGCCAGGTGTTTGAATGAAGAGTGGAAGGTGGAAAGACACTGAGATGCTGAGGTGAGCCAATCCTGTTTGCACAGCCCTTCCCATGGCTCCTGTTCTTTCTCTCCATAACCTACTGCATCAGGCTTTGGGAGGGAAGAAGAGGGTGGAGGAAGAAGAAACAGGAAGAGGAAACAAAAGAAAGAAAAACTTTTTCTTCATGAAGCTTCCAGAATGTTAGACTCCTCTTCCATTTTTGACTGTTCCTTCTTTGTTTCTTTTGCTGGTTCCTCCTTTTAACCCCGACTTTTTATTTTTATTTTTTGAGATTAAGTCTCGCTCTTGTTGCCCAGGCTGGAGTGCAATGGTGTGATCTCGACTCACTGCAACCTCTGCCTCCCAGGTTCAACCGATTCTCCTGCCTCAGCTTCCTGAGTAGCTGGGATTACAGGCACCTGCCACCACACCCAGCTAATTTTTGTATGTTTAGTAGAGACGGGGTTTCACCATGTTGGTCAGGCTAGTCTGAACCCTCTCAAGATTGAAGCACCCCAGGGCTCAGTTTAGGGTCTCTTCTTATCTACTCATTCCTTTGGGCATTTCATCTAATATCAGGGCTTTAGATTCCAACTCACATATGCTAACGAACCTCAGGTTTATGTCTCCAGCCTAGTGATTACTCCTCAACTCCAGATTCACATATCACCTGCCCCCTTGGCATCTCCATTTAGATGTCTGTTAGGCATGTCAAACTAGCACATAATGAACATCTGACCTTCTCCTCTTTCCTCGTCAGACACACCAAATCTGCTGGTTTTATTTTTATTTTTTTTTATTTTTTTTGAGACATAGTCTCACTGTATCACCCAGGCTGGAGGGAAGTGGCAAATTATAGCTCACTGTATCCTCAAACTCCTGGGCTCAAGCAAGAAGCAGCTTGAGCCTCCCAAGTAGGTGGGACCGCAGGTTTGAGCCACTGTGCTTGGCTTTTTTTTTTTTTTTTTTTTTTTTTTTGTAGAGACAGGGTCTCCCTATGTTGACGAGGCTGGTCTCAAACTCCTGGTCTCAAGCAATCCTCCTGCCTCAGCCTCCACAAGCATGAACCATTGCACCCAGGTAAATCTGCTCTTCTTGTGGCTGAGGAAACTCCATCCCTCTAGTTGCTTGGGCCAAAACTCTTGGAGTTATCTTTACCCACCTCTCTCTCATACCCCACATCTAATCCATCAGCAGCTTTTGTAGGTTTCATCTTCAAACACATAGATCTAGAATCTGCCCATATTTCTCATCACCCCAGTCGTAACCGGTCTAAATGACCATCGTCTTGTTCCTGGATTACAATAGCAGCTGACTTGCTTCTGTTCCCCCAACCAATGCAGCCTACTCTCAATGCTATAGCCAGAACAATCCCATTAAGACACAAACCAGATCACACCTCTTTTTCTGAAAACCTCTATGGCTTCCCATCTCATTCAAAGTCAAAGTCAGAGTTCTTACAAAACCCCACATCATCTGCCTCCTTCCTCCACCACTGTGCCTTCATCCCACAAAACTCCCTGATCCACTCTACTCAAGCTTCCTTGCTCTCCTTGAACGCACCAGGCACACTTCTACCTTTGAACCTTTGCACTAGCTCTTCCCTCTGTCCCAAATGTCCACACACCTAACTTCATCACTGGCTTCAAGTCTTTGTTCAAATGCCACCTTCCTCAAGAGGCCCTACAGACCTGGAGTCAAAGGAGATCATTTTCGAGCTTTAAAATTTGACTATCCTGCTGGATTTCAGACTCGCATGGGCCCTGTAACCCCTTTGTTTTGGCCAGTTTCTCTTATTTGGAATGGCTGTATTTACCAAATACCGGTACCCTCCTGTATCCAGGAAGTAACTAGCTTGCTTTTGATTTTACAGGCTCATAGGTGGACTTGCCTTGTCTCAGATGACACTTTGGACTATGGACTTTTGGGTTAATGCTGAAATGAGTTAAGACTTTGGAGGACTGCTGGGAAGGCATTATTAGTTTTGAAATGTGAGGACATTAGATTTTAAGGGGCCAGGGACAGAACGATACGTTTTGGCTGTGTCCTAACCCAAATCTCAACTTGAATTATATTCCCTTAATTCCCACATACTGTGGGAGGAACCTGGTGAGAGATAATCTGAATCACGGGGACAGTTTCCGCTTACACTGTTCCCGAGCAGTGAATAAGTCTCTCAAGAGCTGATGGTTTTATTAGGGGTTTCTGCTTTTGCATCTTCCTCGTTTTCTCTTGCTGCCACCATGTAAGAGGTGCCTTTTGCCCTCCGCCATGATTCTGAGGCCTCCCCTCAGAATCATGTGGAACTGTAAGTCCAATTAAACCTCTTATTCTTCCTAGTCTCGGGTATGCCTTTATCAGTGGCGTTACAATGGACTCATACACCTACCCAGACCACACTGTTTAACACGACTACCAACCTGCACTTCTAATCTCCCTTACCCTGTTTCACTGCTTTAACACATCTGTTCCATTATACTTATCACCTCCTGATGTATAATTCACTATTTCTTCATTGTGTATTTGTCTTGTTTTTGAGAGACGGTCTCACTCTGTTACCCAGGCTGAAGTGCAGTGGCATAATCTCAGCTTATTGCAACCTCCACCTCCCAGGCTCAAGTGATCCTTGCACTTCAGCCTCCCAAGTAGCTGGGACTACAGGAGCCCGCTACCATGCCCAGCTAAATTATTTTTGTATGTTTTTGTAGATATGAGGTTGCTACATTGTCCAGGCTGGTCTCAAACTCCTGAGCTGAAGTGATCTGCCCACCTTGGCCTCCCAAAGTGTTGGGACTAGAGACGTGAGCCACTGCACCTGGCCTTACATTGTATATGTTTTTTGTTAGTCTTTCCCCATTGGAATATAAACCCCATGGGGTAGGGATTGTTTTGTGCAGTGACATATCCCTAGAACAGTGCCGTGCTCACATAGTAGGTACTCAATATTCGAACAAATGAACAGAGAGAACATCCTAGAATGTGTTCAGAAACCAAATGGAAATAAAGCACAAGAATTAGTCTTTCCCAGCCTGACCTCTCTTTGATTCTATTGCTAACTGGCTGTGTGTCCTCAGACATGTTTAACCTCTGCGCCATCACTGTTTAATAGAATTTTTTTTTTTTTTTGGAGACAGAGTCTCACCCTGTTGCCTAGGCTGAAGCACAGGATGCAATCTCAGTTCACCACAAACTCCACCTCCCAAGTTCAAGTGATTCTCCTGCCTCAGCCTCCCAAGTAGCTAGGATTACAAGTGTACACCACCACACCCAGCTAATTTTTGTATTTTTAGTGGAGACAGGGTTTCACCATGTTGGCCAGCCTGGTCTCAAACTCCTGACCTCAGGTGATCCACCCACCTCTGCCTCCCAGAGTGCTGGGATTACAGGGGTGAGCCACCACACCCAGCCACATAGCACTCTCTTTAATGGCAGTCACATTCTATATCTGCAACATCCCATAGGGTAGCCACTGGCTGCACAAAGCTACTAAGCACTTGAAATGTGACTAGAATGACTGAAGAACTGAATTGATTTCATTTTATTTTAATGAATTTAAATCGAAGTAGTCGCAAGTGGCTAGTGGTCGTCCTATTGGACAGTGCAGGCCCGTTTCCTCACCAGACTGAGGAGAGGGAGATGTGTATGTCCAGCATCCAGCTGGCAATGACAGACACTCAGTGCAGGCTCCTTCCCTGCCCCACACTGCGGAAGGCCACAGGTAAGAAGCCCGACTTCCACACCAACGGCACAGTCTGCTACTATAGGGGTAGAAGGACTGGAGCACTTTTTGTTTTTAAAGACGGCACGCTGGTTTTATTAAATGCATGGGGTCGGGGGAGATCACAGCGTGATTGCCCCAACTCCACAATGGGGTACAGAAGTTTTGGCTCCCTTTCTCACAGGGGAGTCAGAACACATGTATAAGCGCAGGCCCGGAGAGAGAACAGCTGCAAGGACTCTAGGAAGAAGCAGATGAAATAAAGGATGGCACGTGGGGATATTTTTTATATGTATATGGATGCCAGAATTATCACATTTTTGATGCCTTCATACAATTTTGAAGAGCCCTGGAAGTCCTTAGAGGTGCACTGGGGCCTGTCAAGGAGCTTGGAGAGGACTCAAGCAATAGACTTCTCCCCAACAGGACCACTCTACACTTGGCTGCTTTTCAGGGTAGAGTTTTCTGTTACAGAGTTTGAAAATCACTTCAAATCTCCCGGAAGCAAACTTTAAAAACACTGTCAATAAACGTGAAACTCAACCACCGTAGCCCTGGCACATGGCATGGGAATGCAGCTCCAAAATACAGGGTCACACAACTGTAGTGTCTCAGGTTGTGTTTTGAAAATCCAGCTACCTCAGGCTTCCCAGGACCTAAGATCTTTAAATTCTGGACTTCAAAGGCCTAGACTTTTCACTGATTCAGATTTAGTAATAAACAACGAGGCCTGATAATTGTTTATTAATTTGAATACAACTGACTACAGCAACAGTTCTATAGCATAACATAAATGAAAGATCAAGATATATGCATATCATATCAGAGACTCGGATTGAAAAACCAAAAACGGCTAAGTATATTAGCAAGGGTAAACCATGCTTTATGGTGGTTCTAGGTGATGAAGAAAAATAGGAAAGAACAAAGATCTTCAAGAGTCTTCTAAGACAAACCTCAAGAATGCCACTGAAACTGTTTTCTGGAGTTCTGTGTAAGAATTCACTTCAAAATAAGTTTCACATCTTAGGAGACTGTGGGATCCTCAGCTGGAGAAGGAGGTGGGGCAGGAGGTACTGTGAGGTGGGTCCTGCGAGGGGGAGGGGTTTGTTCCAAATCCAAGTGGGAGAGCATCTCCTTAGCTTCATCACTTTTCTGGGTAATTATCTCTTTTCTAGGAAGAAAGGCACATTGAATGCCATTTGAATAAAGATAGGGGTTTAAATAAATAGAGAGAAAGAGAACAGACTGGGCATGGTGGTTCATGCAGATACAGATAATCCCAGCACTTTGGGAGGCAGAGGTGGAAGGATCACTTGAGCCCAGGAGTTCAAGACCAGCCTAGACAACATAGGGAGACCCCCTCTCCACAAGAAAATAAAAATTAGCCAGTTATGGTAGCATGTACCTGTAGTCCCAGCTACTCGGGAGGCTGAGGTGGGAGGATTGCTTGAGCCCCGGAGATCGAGGATACAGTGAGCTGTGATTGTACCATTGCACTTTAGCCTGGGTGACAGAGTGAGACCCTGTCTCAAAACAACAAAAAAGAAGGAACAAAAGAAATACCCCAGATGCCAGCATCTAAAGAGAGTAGTTAACATTTTAGAGGACATCCTTCCAAGTTCCTCCAGCCACACTCACCTTGCAGAAATGAGATCTACTTTATGAACACTTTGTCAGTCAGCTCTCCTCAGAGTGAGCTCAGCTGTCCCCATTGGTGCCATGGAACCAATAGAGTCGGAATCTGCACCCTCACTCCTCTACCCCCATCCTCCAAGGGTCTCAGGATTAGAGCAGGAGTTCTTCCCATCAATTAGCTTTCTCCATCCCCTACTGGCCTCTGTGCGTTTCATCCTGGGACAGGCTGTGTCTAAATCTTTCATTTGCATTCCAGCTATTCATAGGGCCAGTCCAGTCCCAGGTTCACTTCACAGCTCCCTTTGGCCTAACTTGTCCCCATCCCCAGGCTGCGAGGTTCACCTCCCCTTCTGCTGGAGTATACCAGGGTCTTGCCATCCTCCTCAGGGCTGGGCAAACCTTGCCTTCAAGCACATAAGACTAGCCTGTCAAGTTTTTACAGGTTCAGATTTAACTGTTCCCTGGACATTTACTATGTTCCAGGGACTAGAAATTACCTAGAAAGTAACCACATGTAGAATCTCAGCCCCCACATTAAATCTTTCAGCTGAGCAAGCTGAGACAGAAGGTGATTTACCCAGATCATGTGACCGGTAGAAGGCAGAACTGGAATCCAAATTTAAATTTTAATCTGGCCACAAGTTCACTGCTGCCATCTCCCAATCAAAGCTGATCCCTAATGTTGCTGAAAGGATGTGGGATGATAGGAAAGGAATTGTTTGGTGGCTAGGACAGGCCGCAGAATTATGCCATCTCGTCCTTGGATGGACATTAGAGCGCAGGGACCACACTTCCTGCAGACAATGCCCACTCTCACGGTCTAAACTCGTGGTGTCAAACTGGCCGTGCACCACTATCAACAAGGAGTTAACATTCCCATGTATGGTAACTAAGAAACGGTACCTAATTCCTATTCATTTGTTAGTATCTTACATCCTAATAAATTCTAAGGTCAAAGGGCATTGTAAACAACATTAGATGGAAGTCTGTATTTTCTATTTCAAATCAATAATTTTGATTTTTTTGACCAACTTCTTAACAGATTTAGTAAGATTATTATTTTTAATCTCATAATGTACCCGACAAAGAGCTCAAGCTAGAGGTGTCAGCTTGGGCCAGGCACAGTGGCTCTCGTCTGTAATCCCAGCACTTTGGGAGGCCGAGGCAGGTGGACCACTTGAGCCAAGGAGTTTGAGACCAGCCTGGGCAACATGGCAAAACCCTGTTTCTATTAAAAATACAAAAAATTAACCAGACATGGTGGCGCATGGTTGGTAGGAGGCTGAGGTGTGAGGATTGCTTAAGCCCTAGGAGGTTGAGGCTGAGGCTACAGTGAGCTGTGATTGCACTACTGAACTCCAGCCCAGGTGACAGAGCGAGACCCCGTCTCGAAAAAACAAAACAAAACAAAGTGATCCCCACTCCCCACCCTCTATCAAGAGCCACCAATGTGAAGTTTATCCCACCACCACCCACACAGTGAACATACACAAATGGGTGTCATCACCCTTTGAAGGGCCATGTGAGAAAAGTCTGTTTTCCACAATAGATGACAAAGCAGTTTCCTCTTTTGTGAAATGTGTCTTGCAGCAGCATTAAATACATTTAAATAACCAGTGCCAGCTACAGTTTCAGGCACTTGCTGGGGTTCAGTGTTATGCTCCATCCCAACCCCACAGGCGATCCAGAGGAAAGATTTTGGGTACCTCGTGGTCATGGTGACTCGGCGCCTGGTTACCTCGGAGGTCAAGTCCTTGTAGGGGAGATTAATGCCGTTGTCTGCAGGGCTTCTCTGAGCCATGGCCTTGCACTCAGGGGATTTGAGGAATTTAAAGTTACTGCACCTGTGAGTGTAAAACACACATGCTAGCACCCATGCTTCAGGGGTCAGGAATGCTCTAGCTAGGTCCAGCATGGTGCAGTTTGCAGAGAACATTCACTGCCTTACTCTCAGTGGGTCTTCCCTATAGCCTGGCCTTCATCCTCCTTCCGCCCAGGTCAAGAGGCAGATATTTCCTCAAATACCTATTCTGAGGAGTGGGCGGCTAAGAGTAAAATCCTTGTTGGTTGTTTATATATAACAAATGTGATTATTCCAGTCGTGCAATGGGCAGCTCTCATTACGCCCAGATAACACTGAGGACATGGAGGCACAGAGAGGTGAACTGAATCTCCCCAGGTTGCACAGCAGCCCTGTCTCATGCTGGTTTCCCTCTAACGGCGCCATTCCAGAGGAGTCCTTTCCTCACAGGGCTGTTTGGCCTCACTGACACGTGCAGAGCTTTCTTCCTGGAACACTTACCTTCTAAAAAACAGGAAAGGGACATAAACAAGACTGCGGCTGGGAGCCAAGCAACTTGTCCAGATACGCACATGGCATAGAGACTGGAGGGTTGATTTTGATAGCAGAGATAGAGGCCACCCATTTACTGTCAGCCACCTTGGGATGTCCTTTTACTTTGTCCCCCTCCTCCTTTTTTTTTTTTGGTTTTTGTTTGTTTGTTTGTTTTTGAGGCAGGGTCTGGCTCTGTCATCGAGGCTGGAGTGTATCGGAGCCATCTCGGTTCACTGCAGCCTCCGCCTCCCAAGTAGCTGAGACTACAGGTGCACGCCACCATGCCCAGCTAATTTTTGTATTTTTTGTAGAGATGGGTTTCACCATGTTGCTCAGGTTGGTCTCAAACTCCTGAGATCAAGAAATCTGCCCTCCTTAGCTTTCCAAAGTGCTGGGATTACAGCATGAGCCACCATGCCTGGCCCTTTTACTTCATCTTATTTGATAACCACAGTAACCCCACATGTAAGTATTATGATCCTCATTCAACAAATGGGGAAACTGAGCAGTAGAGAAATTAGGTAGCTTTTCAGGAGTCACAGAGCTAGAATTAGAACTAGGTCTGTCTGACTTCAAAGACTATATTCTCTCCACTACAGAGCCAAGTCATCTACCAATAAACAGAAGATGAATTAGAATAATTCCCATTCCTAGACACCAGGTCACACTCAGCGTGGTGACTCTGCCATTCTACAGTATAGATTGCAACAGCCGGAGCTCACCAGCTTGATCTTTTGGCTGGAAAGGTTTGTTCTTATAAGGATGCCCAACTTACCTTTTAATCCCAGGTCAGCTTAGCATATAAGCGCTTCTACGCGTCAACTCATGGATTTGCTAAGAAATGTCCTTATGATATACTCTGTACCCACATACCAGCTACTTCACCACTTTGGAAAGAGAAAAGGTGAAAAAAGGACCACCAACGTCAACTTCCTCCCCTTGAGTCTTTTATCCTCCTGTAGTCAGTCTCTCTGAGGAACTTGGGTTAATAAGATTGATTCGCAACCTTAGAAAGCATCAGCTGAAACAAATTACCCCTGGAGCCATGTCCTTGAGAAATCCCCACAGATGTCACAGGGAGAGGACGGGTCTTGGGGGCAGAGCAGGGGAAGAGCTTTCTGTCATGTGAGCAGTGGGGAAGCACTGTCTTAGACGCTGGTAAACACGACATTGTGACCTAGTCTCTTTATCGGCTACTTTTTAAAAAGCTAATTCACGTACGCCCCGCCTCCCAGTGCCATCAGTCATCACTGATCCCACCTCTTCCTGATAATTCACAGCACTTCTGCCATGCTGGCAGGTGTTTCAGCTCTGAAATTAAAGGAGTTGTTTGCGCAACTCCCACTTTTGATCTGAGTGATCTCGGGCAAGTAATTTAACCTCTAGAAGCCTTGGTTTTCTTATTTGTGAAAGAGGACTAATACTATCTTCTAGGGCAGTCGTGAGGGTTGAGAAAATATTTGCAAAAAATTCCTAATTTTGCCTTTCTTGCATTTTTTTACTTTTAAAAATGTATTATTACTATTATAATTATTGAGACAGGGTCTCACCCTGTCACCCAGGCTGAAGTGCAGTGGTGAGATCATAGCATAGATCCCATCAGGCTGAGGTGGGAGGATCATTTGAGGCCAAGAGTTCAAGGCTGCAGTCGATTTCTTTACAATGATAATAAAACCACAATAGAAGAAATTTGCTATTTGGGAAGATAAGATGTAATGAAGCTGGGATTAAAAACAAGGTTGACACAAGGTCTATATATACATAGATAGATATAGTTATTTCCCTTTGTCAATGAAGAGTCAAACTCTGTAAAACATTTGAAGAGATTCTGAGCCAAATATGAGTGACCATGACCTGTGACACAGCCCTCAGGAAGTCCTGAGAACACATGCCCAAGGTGATCGGGGTGCAGCTTGGTTTTACATATTTTAGAGAGGTAGGAGACATCAATCAAATACATTTAAGAAACACATTGGTTTGGTCCAGAAAGGCAGGACAACTCAAAGTGGGGGAGCTTCCAGGCTATAGGTGAATTTAAAAATTTTCTTTTTTACAATTGGTTGAGTTTTCTAAAGACCTGGGATTGATGGAAAGAGAATGTTCAGGTTAAGATAAAAGATGGTGGAGGCCAAGGTTTTTTCAAAGTCTTATAGTGACTGACCTTAGAGACAATAGATGGCAAATGTTTCCTATTTAGATCTCAGTTAATCTCTTTAGGATTGGGAGGGTCTGGAAGAAAAAGATCTAGCTATGTTAATAGAGATTCTTTACAGATGCAAATTTGCCCCCACAAAGAATGGCTTTGCATGACCATTTCAAAATATGCTGAAGAAACACGTTTGGGGGTAAAATATTTTGATTTTCTTTCTTGTCTCATAATGTTATGCCAGAGTCAGGTTGGAGAGTTTAAGTCACGATTAGTGTTAAATAAAACCCATCTGAAGAGAATTTATGATTTGCAGTGCATGATGCCCCACACCCCTTAGACAGGAATTTGGGCAACATAAAAATCAGAGTTTAGTCCTCATCTTCATATAATGGAATGAAGGTAAGCCCTGTCCCCTGTATTAGGGTTCTCTAGAGGGAAAGAGCTAATAGGAGATAGATAGATAGATTTTATATATATATAAAGGGGAGTTTATTAAGTATTAACTCACATGATCACAAGGTCCCACAAGCTGTCTGCAAGCTGAGGAGTAAGAAATGCCAGTCCGAGTCCCAAAACTGAAGAACTTGGAGTCTCATGTTGGAAGGCAGGAAGCATCCAACACGGGAGAAAGATGTAGGCTGGGGGCTAGGCCAGTCTCACCTTTTCACATTTTTCTGCCTGCTTGTATTCTAGCTGGCAGCTGCGTAGACTGTGCCCATCCAGATTAAGAGTGGGTCTGCCTTTCCCAGCCCACTGACTCAAACGTTTTTTGTTTGTTTGTTTTTTTTGAGACGGAGCCCCGCTCTGTCACCCAGGCTAGAATGCAGCTCACTGCAACCTCTGCCTCCCAGGTTGAAGCAATTATCCTGTCTCAGTCTCCCCAGTAGCTGGGACTACAGGCCCACACCACCAAGCCCAGCTAATTTTTGTATTTTCAGTAGAGACGGGGTTTCACCCCGTCACCATATTGGTCAGGTGGTCTCGAATTCCTGACAGGCGATCCTCCCACCTCGGCCTCCCAAAGTGCTGGGATTACAGGCGTGAGCCACCATGCCCGGACCTGACTCAATGTTAATCTCGTTTGGCAACACCCTCACAGACATACCCAGGATCAGTGGTTTGTATCCTTCAATCCAATTAAGCTGACACTCAGTATTAACCATCATGTTACAGGAAAGGGGTCCTGAACCAGACTCCAAGAGCGGGTTCTTGGATCTTGTGCAAGAAAGAATTCAGGGCGAGTCCGTAGTGCAAAGTGAAAGCAAGTTTATCAAGAAAGTAAATGAATAAAAGAATGGCTACTCCATAGACAGAGCGACCCCAGGGCAACTGGTTGCCCATTTTTATGGTTATTTCTTGATGATATGCTAAACTAGGGGTAGATTATTCATGCCTCCCCTTGTTAGGCCATAGAGGGTGACTTCCTGACATTGTCATGGCATTTGTAAACTGTCATGGCGCTGCTGGGAGTGTAGCAGTGAAGACGACCAGAGGTCACTCTCGTCACCATTTTGGTTTTGGCTGGCTCCTTTACTGCAAACTGTTTTATCAGCAAGGTCTTTATGACCTGTGTTTTGTGCCAACTTCCTATCTCATCCTGTGACAGAATACCTTAACTGTCTGGGAATAGCCCGGTAGATTTCAGCCTCTTTTTCCCCAGCACCTATTTAAGATGGAGTTGCTCTGGTTCACACGCCTCTGAAAATCACACCCTCCAAGCCCAATTATATACTTTTTGAAAGCAGGAGCTGGGTGCAGTGGCTCATGCCTGTAATCCCAGCACTTTGGGAGGCCAAGGTGGATGGATCACGAGGTCAGGAGTTTGCGACCAGCCTGACCAACATGGTGAAACCCCATCTCTACTAAAGATACAAAAAAAATTAGCCAGGCATGGTGGTGTTCACCTGTAATCCCAGCTGCCTGGGAGCCTGAGGCAGGAGAATCGCTTGAACCGGGGAGGCAGAGGTTGCAGTGAGCCGAGATCGTGCCGTTGCAGTCCAGTCTGGGTGACAGAGTAAAACTTCGTCTCAAAAAAAAAAAAAAAAAAGAAAGAAAGAAAGAAAGCAACAGCCCAGTATTTTTCCCTTCCTCCTGTCTCAGGGTTTGGCCAGGCTGAGCTCCTAGTGGGGACCCAACAATTACTTACATTGAATCAGAAGATTCAGAAGCATTGTCTTCTCATCTGTTCCTTTAGCTATATGATTCCCAAAGTCTGTAAATCGTGAAGGGTTTTCAAAGTATAGACAAATTTTTGCATTGTATTTGAATATATCAGAAGCAATTATTGTATGTAAATTTCAGGAGATATACAGCCACCATAATGATTTCTTTTTTTGTTTGTTTTTGTTTTTG